CCATTTTCGAAAACCGCACATGGGCTGCCCCACGGTGAGCCTGTGTGTTCAGCACACCGCACATTAGTTGTTAAAATGCTAGTTTTTTTGTTGAGGAACCCCACATTGCTTACTCCAAGGTGAGCCTACGTACCGAACATTGGTGGCGAGACTGTTAGCCTCCGTGGTCGGGATACCGCAGTTGCTACAATCCCAGTCTCAGTGTTGTGAACAGCATACCTTGGTTATTGCAATGCGTGCGTCCGTGTTGAGGACTCCGCACATTGTCTACTCCATGACCAGCCTCCGTTTCGCCGGCACCGCATATTAGTGACCGAAAACTGCTGCTCGGGTGCGCCAGTTGTGATGTTGCCGACGAGTTCAATCCTCGTAGCGGTGAACCTTAAAAAACGAATTAATCGAATTACTTGTATACTTTGATACTTGGACGGCCCGTTTTCATCGGTTGCGCGGTCACCAGAACCTTTATCATTATTGGAGTTGTTCTGGTTTAGCCAGTGTGTTGCTGTATAGTCCAGAGGCCAGCCTGTCCAAACTCTGCCTCAGGTCGTAACCACCACAGGCTGCCGCCGCCCTTGTGGATCAGAGGAAGATTTCCCACTAGTTTGACATGAGGACAGTGTTAGATCCTTACATAGGTTTACTTTTAGCTAAACTTTCTGATGAAAACGCTTGATGAGGAGTGCAGAGCATTAAGACATTTCACGTACGCGGCGTACTCGCTTCTCTTGGTCATTTCCATCTGTAGGAGGTGGCTGCTTTATCTTTCGACAGTCCGCCGACTTTTTCAGATCAAATATTAATGCTTTTTTAGCCTGCGCCATGCAAGACGATGCTGAAGAATAGCCGCCGTTGTTAATTGCAAGAGCATTGGCGAAACACACCCTTGAAGGATTTCGGGTCGTGCAAAAACCAGCATACTTAGCAGCACATTTCACGATTATAGAAAATTTTTGGTGTGTTTTACTTATTCAGCAAATGCTTCTGAACAATGTAGAATGCGCTTGTTTTGGCAAAACTTTACTAGAGCAGCATTCGCTGACATTTGTAACGCACTGAAGAAAATGAACAACTGCTTCTGGATGGCCGAATCAGCGTTGAAGCTGCTCATAATTTTATCGAAGTCGGTTTTCATAGAAGACCCAGTTCATAGAATTCCCTGATCCAGATTATGTTTTTGTGGAAAAAGCTGTGAACTTGTATGGCTTACTACGAAGAAGTCCAAAAGAACTTCACCATTAAAATAAGTCAAATTCTCAAGGTAAACCGTTCTTATTTGATATTATATATACTAATTGATATTAGCACTAAGCGTCGATAGCTTTAATCAGTGAGAGGATATAGGTTATTGCAGGTAGCTGATTACAATAACCGCAATTCAATTTGAGAAAGTGTAAAGGATAAAAAAGAGGATAAAGCTCTCGGCGTTGATCAATCCCTGGATCATTCGCCATGATGCATTCGACTTCATTAAGCATCGTTTGGAGGTGATTGAATGCATATCTGGTCTTTACAATGACTCGCGGTGGCCTACCAATGTATCGAGTCAGTGCTGCTATCCTTCCAGACAAATCTAGTACCAGTTTGCCGACCCCGGAAAGATGGAAGGTCTGGTGGGCTATGGGCCCGAGGATCGATTTCACGTGTGTGTCGTTGCGCGCCTCCAACCACTGCGCCACACGCGCCCATTGAGAAGGTGAGGCACAATGATTGAATAATATTTACTTCGTACAAGCTTTAATCACACGGTTTTTTTATAAATATTACTCGTGAGATAATAATTTTTGTCGGTATAGTCTCAGATCTGCATCGGACTTCTAGTACAGGTATCAGTGCCACTACCATTCTGTAACAGCTGTTGCCATCACCAAGGATTGCTTCTCATGAGTATCCTCTACGCAGTGTCGTGGTGAATAAAGGAAAAGACACAGTCAAAGAATAACAACCTTTAGTTTTTCGCTCTTTTGGTTGCAGCATTGATATTCCTAGAGGTAAAATGAGTGAAATAATTGGGGAAATTGCGGACACACATGAATACTGCACCAGCAACGTTCCATGCACATGATAGAAGCAGGAAAAAATAATTTATTCGAATCCTCTTTTCTCGATTAGGCATCCGTACTTTGTAACCAGAGAGATCGTAACCTTCGTTGTCTAAAATACGCATACCTTTTAACTCGCAGAAGAAGCTGAATCACTAGGAGAGCTTAAATAGGAGAGTAATCTACGCTGCGATTAATTCTTCTGAAATCATTAATTTTTTAAATAATGACAAATTTACGGATAATGGTTACAATCCTTGTGTCATAGAAGAGACCATAGGAGCTACCAGTGATTACAGGATAGATATTTTTCTTAGAATACAAATTTAACAACCACCATCTTGTCTGTTGAGGTAAATCTCTGTGACCTAAAATACATCCACAAAACACCGTTTTCGATAAATTTAACTTAGTGTCTTAACAGAGTTTTCAAAAAACCTTTTTTTCTGAATATCCTTTGAGCAAAATGAGTGGTTCTACACATGACCAAATCATATCTGTAAACAAAAGTTGCTAAGCATGGTTATCGACTTTTTTCACCAATTCCTAGGAAAGAAGTGAAGCCGTCAAATTTTACGTGATCGTCGACAAATATGTTCTCATCTGCTAATTTTCAAGATGTAGACACTTCAAAACGAGATGATTTTCTTGAAATCCGCATTGACTGGAGAAAACTCACTGGATGTCACCAAAAATGCGCTTTTTGAAAAAACGTTCAAAGACGTTTTCTAGTTGCGAACTGAGTGCACTATTATCATCCTCAAAAAATGGTGCCCCTTGTCAGATAATAAAAGCACGTCTTCTTCTATAAAACTTCAGGGAAGTCTTAAATTGACGATAGCAGCTTTACAACAAATCAATTGCACTAACACAACGGATTTCTTATGTAATTTGATGAATTCATTGTTACGCTTAATAGTTAGTTATTCTCGACGTCGTAATGTTTCCTAAATCGGCCGTCTTCAGCACAGTGGTCAGAAGTGTACTACAATAAACATTTGTTATTTGTCGCTAAACAAAGACGCCGAAACGTTAACAATAAAGGACAAAATTCTCCGCGTTGATTAATCCCTGAGGGATGCGCCATGCATTCGACTTCATTATCGTTGGAGGCGATTGAACGCATATCTGGCCTTTACAGTGACCCGAGGTGGCCTATCGATGTATCCAGCCAGTGCTTGCTATCCTCCCAGACAAGTGTGGTACCAATTCGTCGACCCCGGAGGGATGGAAGGCTTGGTGGGCTAGGGGCGCGAGTATCGATTTCACGTCTGTGGCGCAGTGGCGCCTCCAGCCACTTTCTTTTTCGAAACGTTAGCCAAAATAAATATGCTTATCGACCTCGTGTAAGCTCAACAATTTAAATACATGTTCGTTGCTTACTACCGAGGTTAGATGATGGTCGGTGTGAAAATTGACTTACCAATCGGTTCAATTTCGCCTACCTGCCCTATCAAGCAGCTTAATTCTCCCCCGGCAGTAGATTTGAACCGGACATATCTAATATAATAAGAGCATCAGCTTGATAGATCAGTAAGCCACATAAGTTGCTGTATACCTCGAGCACGCTTTCGAACAACTTTATGAAGCTTAATGGAGGTGAATTAATTGCACATGCCTAAAGAAATGGCCAATACAGAAACCTTGAATCTTTTTACCCTCCTAAGGAAGGGGAAAATTTTTGGCGAAGCGCGTTTTTTGCTCTATCTCCTTTGTACTCTAGCATTTCTTACCACTTCTCCCACATATATAGAAATCTGAACCGGATGGGGAAGGATACTTCTTCTGGATGTTATGCTGACTGATTTTACCTTATTCCCCATTCTGATCCTGAAATACAATTAAATGACTCATAGTGCCACACGATCATAATTGGTGGTGGTGTACGTGACGTGAAAGGTTATCGAAACAGTATAGCATTATCCAGCGACAAAGGGGTTGAATTTTGAAGGAAGTCATATCACTTTAATCTTTGATGTTTTGAAGTACCTACTGACGAGAAGTCCATAGTGTTGTGCTACCCGATATAAACTTTTTTGATAAACCGGCGTATGATCGAAAGAAAATAGCATATTTATTGGTTGTTTTCCGCCACAAGTGGGCTAAAAACCTATTCTTATTAGTATTCTTTTTATTAGTTGATATTGTCGTAAAAAACAAACATTTGTTAGTCAATTTCTTTCTTCATGACTGAAATAATTGCCAGAGCAAAACTGATGTCTGTGGCTGGATAGCTCACTTCAGTGAAGAAATGAGGAATAAAATTGTTTTAGATTTGTGACGCGTCAATTGCTTCATGAAAGAGCGAAACCCACTAAGCGGCCTGACTTTTGGGTTCAGGTAATTCGCTGAGAGTAAATTTCTTGGATAATCTTTCAATAGATCGGTATCCGCACTGTATAAGAATGCACCGCCAACTGAGATAGATTTTTCATTCAGTCGGGACTCCACTTCCATGGATTCCACTCGATGCGACAACGAGTAGCCTGGCAGATCGCGAGGACGACCACCCATCAATCGCCGACTCGGACCAGTTCTACACTGGAGAAGAAGAATACTTCGAAGCATCAGCCGAATAAATCATTTTGATAAAACTCGCGTTAACTTTGTAGTCTAAGAAACATTTTTGATTATTTCGTGTAACTTCGCTTGAGGTCGGAATTCTGTTGACTGATAAAAATTAGAAAACATCTTTTGTTTTTTAGAACTTTGTTCTTTCCAGCTAATTTTCGCAAATCTTTTAGGGCATATGAGTAAAACGTCGAATTTTCAAATGGTGCAAAAAAAACAAAGATGTCCTATGTGGAAGAACAGGACACGATAGATGAAATTATTTACCATACTACCATAATTCACTCAATATTTTTTAATCAACGTATTTTTTGCTATATTTGGGCATAAGCACTGGTTGAAATCAGTTTGTAGTGTAAATGAGTATGTTATTTGATCCTTATTAATCTATTTATGAAACAGTGCAAATCCGAGACGACTTTGGCCGATGTCGAAGATGTTGCAGTATTGACGGACAAATGGAGTGCCGAGAATCCAATCCGGTCCGAAGCCACCAGACTCGAAATAAAAGATTGCGAAATAGCATGTGTTCATTCCTACCTAAAGGTTAGAATCTTACATGCATGAATTGCAAAAATTAAATAGGCAATCGTCCTAGAAATGAAGCAAGCGATTGCAGAAATATAGAAGTGGAGCCAAACATAGTGAAACTTGCCTTAACAACGTAGTTGTCAGGATAGATGGGATACTTGTGCTTTCCGATTGTAATGTCGAGACTGGGTGGTGTCATGCTACATTCCACCAAGTATATTCCTTCCGTAGCGTTATAATAAAATAAAAAACTTGTCGGACTTTGGTAGTAAACTTAAAAACCTCGAGACTTATACCGAGGCTCCGCCTACTTTAGCAATTCGGTCAATAACAGCTTTTGGCCCACCGATGAGCGACGTACCCGTGTCGGATGCAGCTTCATAAACCTGCGCATGCGTAAAATTTCCTATCCCAATAGCAGATACCTGAAAATTTTCACTTCGCAAGCAATCGAAATTCTGAACTTATCTATATGTTCACAACTATCCTTGAACTGATATTTGGTTTCAGATGAAAATAGCTCGTAGGCCATTATTGGCCCACAATTCTCTGTATCGATCGCACCGTAAGTTAATAAGCCTCTCAGTGTTGTTGCGTTTGCTCTTCGAGGTTGCATCCAAACAGTGAAGAGTGGCTTATCCAACAAATCTTGAAATGTTCTACTCAGTAGGACAAGTAGAAGGAACTGAAGAATCTTTGTAATGTCATCTCCTACTTTGATTAATGGCATTCATGAGTGGCGGCACAACATTGCAAACGGACAGAGCAGTGAAAGCAAGACCGAGGATTCCGTCTGCAGGATCCTGCAACAAAAACAATGTCATAGCTCTCCAACACTACAAGATATTCACCAACGTTTTTCAAATCCGTTGTGATATGGTTCGCTAGACCAAAAGTGGTGTTCGGAACCGCTAGCTGCTGCTCATCCAATCCTCCGAACTAAATACACGTTAACTTTAGAAAAAAATTGCACGTGACGACGCGACAGCACTAACCTGCATAACATCCGTTCCTAGAACACCGTTCGCTTCCCCCTCTTCGTATTTGATTGCCCATGTCTTGTTGCCCTCCACAAAGGTGCTCGAGGATTTTGGCTTGAACTTTCGCTTTTTTAGCGCATGATCTACTAAAAGTATTTCGTGACTTACAGGTTGCAATTACTCTTGCAGTTTCTTGTGGCATATTAAAGACGAATTTACTTGTCTGTAATAACAGTTTAATACCTCACCAGGCTACTTTAGTGTAGTAAATTTGCATGATGCATGTCTTAATAACTCGAAAGATTGGCTTTCCATGAACATCGGCACAATAATCGTTACATATATACATATATATGTTCTTGCGAACTTGTTGTGTCGTCGTTGTGATGAATGTCACCAACAATGTCTCTTGTGAATAACACACGGGTGATTCAACGGCATGGTTCTAAGGAAGGCGAAGTCGCCAAAACGATCAACTAACAGGTGCATTCAATCACCTTTAAACGAGAGCTTATTGACCAACAACAACAATAACAATAAGAACATCTATTCCAACCGTGATTCAGCTTTGAAAAATGCAATTTGCAACAGCATATATGTATATATATTTGGGCGCGTGTGGCGCAGTGGTAGGAGAAGCCTTGCAACGCACACGTGGGACCGATCCTCGCCTCCACGGCCCACCTAGCCTTCCATCCCACCGGGCACAGCAAATTGGTACCAGACTTGTCTGGGAGGATAGCAGCACTGGATCGGTAGGCTACCGCGATTCACTGTAAAGGCCGGATTTGAATTCAATCACCTCCAAACGAGTGCTCTATATATTTACATATATATATATATATGTATATATATGTATATATATATATGAATCATTACACCAAAGTTTATAGAAAGTCGATCGTTTGAGTTATTAAGAGATGCGTCTTGCAAATTTATTATCTTAAGTAGCAAAGTGGCTTGGTTAGGTACCAAATTGTTATTGCGGACAAATAAATGTGTCTTTATTATGCCACAAAAACAGCAGATTTCATTTCTCGACTAAGTGTTTAATTATTTACCTAGAAAAAAGTTTGTTCTAATGGGACTCAGATATTTTCAGTCTATTGGTAGGCAAATAATGTCTTCAGAAAGAGAAAACAGGCATCAGCTCTTGTCAATCGAGAGCACTTCGATGTCAAGCAAATTTACATGAAATAACCAAAGATACTAAGTCGCATTCACTTCCCGGAACCCAAAAATCTGACGATCCAGTGTCAAGAAGTACAGAAAACTGCTGCTTGGGTGTACCCATCGTGATGTTACCGACGAATTCAAAGTCTCTGTAGCCACTCACCTTAACAAACTAATAATTCTATTGATTATTACATATCGCCCTCAACATATTTACGACGATGTGCATGCTTGCTATAGAATTATATCGGCGTACCAACTGTCTAGCACGATTTTTCTACATAAGTCAACTCGTTGGACTCCAATCACTCTTGTGATGAAACGATAAAGAATGAAGCCCTCGGCGCTCACCAATACCTACAGTATTAAGCATCGTTGGAGGTGACTGAGTACACATCGGGCCTTCACAGTGACTTGCGGTGGTCTACCGACGTAACGAATCAGTGCTGGTATTCTCCCAGACAAGTCTGGAACCAATTTGCCGAGCCAGGGAATGGATGGCTTGGTGGGCCTGGAGTGCATGGATCGATCCCACGCGTATAGAAGAGCGCCTCCAATCACAGCGCCACAAGAGCCTAAGCCCAGTTTCTCCTCTCCCTGTGATAAAAATCGAAATAAAGGGATGGAATGAGGTATAACCACCTAACAATTGCTACCGGTTTGTAAGTGCAGCCTATTTGAAGTATACTACCGCAAACATCCTAGTCAACTGACTTCAGCATTTTAAAAAAGTGGTTAGCCATGATGTCCTCGCGCAATCCCCGTATGCATTAGGTTACCCGCGTCGTAAAACAGTTTTGATCTTGATTCTGAAATAGAAAGGGCCAATTGTAGATACTGGAAAAGTCCTGTTCTAAGGGGACTCAGATATTTTCAGTCTATTGGTAGGCAATATTTTAGAATAATATAGCTTAAAGATAGTGGTACAGTTTTTCTGTGCAACGCTTTGCGATTTATCCCTTTTCTCCCTTTTTCTAGAGTAGTACTGCTAGATTTTTTACAACATAACATTTATACAAAGCCAAGGCGTCGTCAAATACACTGGTGTCAACTTTTTCCAACATATAAATTAAATATAAACTAGGGAGGTAGCATGGAATCCCTTCAAAAATATAACACAAATTGTTGCACTGTCATTTTATAAGAAGGAACTCTGTGTAAACCTGAGCGTGCCAAGGTAAGCTGCACTTACCCGCTGCGTGGTAACGATGAGTGAAGGACGTAGAGAGTTGAGATATTTAACGTAGGCACCATATTCACCACGTTTGATCATTTCCGTCTGAAACAGGTAATGATTTTATTTCAACTAGTTAAATGACTTTTTCAACTAGATGTTAATACCGTTTTTGGTTTACGCCATATGAGAGCATGGTGAAGAACAGCCGCCGTTGTTATCCCAACAATAAGGAGAAGAAGGGTGAAACGCATCCTAAGAAGCACATGCTATACATCTAGAAGCATTCCCACCAAAACTCTGCATTTTACGTGCAAAGTTGTGGTTGATTTCTTTCCTATTCTACTAATGTCTCTAGAAAACACAAGAAACACTCGGCTGAAACAAACTTCGCTAAACGATACTCAAAGCCGTGTTTACGAAGCACAGAAGGAGACAAACAAGTACGCCTTGGTGGTGGAAGGAGTTTAAAAGATGTTTGAGTCTCCACTTCGGTCCTTATCACCAGCACCAATTATAAGCACTTGAAGTGATAAAATCATTGGAACTGATTACACGTTCACAGGAAGAAATGCGTCCTTCTGCGAATGAATGAAGCAGGATTCAAAAACATGTACAATTTAAAATGGGCGCCTGAAACATTAATTAGCAAAATAAACTCTCTTCTTCAGGTATTGAGTGTTCTCAGGGTCAACGCCTTAAAGTGGAAAGCGATATGAATACGAGGCAATGGAACGTTTTGGAATAAGCTTTCAGCTCTTGAAAACGTATACGATAAAAAATCATCTTCTGACGTTTCATTCCTAGAAAGAACGGCCAACTATATGGTGCGTATCAGTGTAAACCGACTTTCATTTAACTTAGGCGTGAATGAATGAACAGTGTGCCGTATTTTATCGATAAACTAACACGAGTTTATTACCAACCAAACTATGCGATGTGTATTTAAACAGCGCCATGAGACTGAAAGACAAGGGTGGAGTGAAAACAAGAGAAAAAATTGGACTTGCGAGGACAATAATTGTGTTGTAGCTGCCATTTTTGCGAAAAGGTTGTTAGTAATAATAATAATAATAATGACACTGATCCATGGATTCGATTTTATTAAGTATCGTTGGAGGTGATTGAATGCATATCTAGGCTTTACCATAACTCGCGGTGACCAACCGATGCATCGAGCCACTACTACTATCTTCCCAGACAAATCTGGTACCAATTATCCGAACCAGGAAGGATGGAAGGCTTGGTGGGCCACGGGCGCGGGGGTCGACTCCACCTGCGTGACGCAGTGACGCCTCCGACCACTGCGCCACACGCTTTCTTTTTCTCTTTTTAACTTTGTGCTGTTATGAGTCGATTATGTCGTGACCAATCCAGCAATTCCAGCTTTGGTTGGTCATAAGTGGCTGTTACGGTGGAGTTTCAGTGTACTTCCTCTTTTGTTGATATTCTGAAGGAATTGATTTCTTTCGGCCAATTTGATTGTCTAATGAAATCCGGTCCTTTCCACCAATAGTGACTCACTGGCGTTTATTTAGCCCTTTAGTTGCTCAATCGGCCGAATTCTGTTCTGTAGGTATGTGGGCAAACTGAATGAAATTTTCTAAAGCCTTTCCTATTTGTCGCATTTCTCTGACGCGGTTCTTCACCAGCACACCTACTGACTTATCTAAATTTGTGATCGCATCCAGCTTAGAGCGATTTCGGAGTGAAAGAAAATTAGTGTCTCTTCGATGGATACATCGTTTTTCAATAATGTGTGTATCAAGTGAGCTAACCGAACTGCCATAGTTACAGCATTTAACTCAAGTTTTGGAATAGTGGTAGCGTAGTTGCTTAATTGTAGGTTGGATTTACCCATAGGGAGATATGAGTGATGATTTGACACCAGTAAGCGCAAGTAGCCATACACTGTCTGCTGGCGTCTGCGAAAAGGATTAGTTTGGTATCAAAATCGATTTGAGCAACACATCGTGGAATATAGGTTTCGAATCCTTTAAGATTTTCAACTATTTTTTCCTACTGCTCAGCATGTTGTTTTGAGAGTGATGTGTCCCACGTGTAACCAAGGTTCCACAGAGTTTGAAGAAACTGTTTTACTCGTACTGTTAGTGGTATGAGCCGTCCTAAAGGATCGTAGATTGCTGCTACCTGTTCAGCCACTGAACGTTTGGTCAGTTTTGATTTACATGGATAATTGCATGAGAGAAGTATTTTGTCGTCTTCTGACTCCCATGCTAATCCTAAAGCCTTTAGTTGAGTGCTTAATGCTAAGTCCTTTGAGGAAAGCTGCTGCACCAATTGTTGGCTGTTGGACATAAATTCTGAACTCGTAAGTACATGCCCAAATCTTGGAATATTTGCTTTAACTGCTTATATTTGACCACAGCTTCTTTTAGTGACGAGCTTGTGATAATAACGCTATCGACATATGTATTGTTCGTGAGTTCGTGTGCTAATGTTGTATTGGACACTTGTGTTTCTAAGTGGTGCTTGATTGTTTCCGCTAGTAGGAACGGTGAACATTTGAGGCCAAAGGCCACGCGAGTGAATCTGTGGGCGACCATGTTTCTTGGATCGCAAGGTTTTGCTATATCACGAATCCATAGGAATTGTGTAGCATCTCTATCTTGTTCGTGGAGTCGCATTTGCAAGAACGCTTTCTCTACGTCCGCAATTATTGCAATACATCCGATACGAAAACGAAGAAGAATGTTGCATATTCGAAGAAGGCGGACTGGTCCCCGATGAAGAACAACATTTAATGAGGGTAATAGTACTGGATGTGCGGATGCATCGGGCATTATTCGTAGTTTTGTGGTGTGTTTATTTGGAGTGACCACGGCGTGATGTGGGAGATGATGAACAATTACTCCTTGTTGGCGTATTGATTCATCGACTTCCTCAATAACATTCTCGTTTAGATGTTGTCTTATTGTTTCGTTATATTTTAGAAGCATGGTCTTTTGTTAGTGTGGCCATTGTCGCCGTCGTATTGCCATACTTTTATTCTCGGGTAATGTGGTTGAGTTGATCTTCCACGGAAGTCGTACGTAATAACCATCTTCTCGTCTCTCTATCGTTTACGGGAACTGTTCCCATATCTCAGCATTTTGCTGCTCTTGTTCTTTTATTTTCGATCTGGTGAATTCATAGATTCCTGTTGATTCGAAGGCGCAGAAATCTTCCCACAATTGTTGTTCATGAGGTTTATTGTTGGGTACTGTAGTCTCTGTTATGAGGAGTGTACTTTTTTGCGAATTAATGTGTCGCTTGTCGTTACCTCCTATTATTAAATGATCTAGTTTAGAAGGGATTAATGCTAATCCCGATGGCAATGTCTTGTTTGCTACTAGATTGCTATCCAATAGTGAAAAAAGATCTGAACATCCGAGTAGGATTTATAGGTGTATAATGTTACAGTTGGGATTTATAGAAAGTTCAATATTGTTATGATGAAGGTATTTCTTATCCTTTTGGCTAAGGCGAACACGCTTTAATGGTTTCGTAATGGTCTCAATTCTGGTTACTGTAACTTCATGTTTTGTCCCACAGTTGTCCCACAGTGTTACCGTAGTAACTCCACAAGTTTTCTTTAGTTCTTTAAAGCTCCGAATGTATTGATGGACAGTTCTATGGAGTCGATATTTTGTAATTGAAGGTGTTCTGGCAATTCGTTGGTGATGAACGATCAGTCAGATCCTGTATCAAGCAACAGATCTACTAGTTCTTTTGTCTGAGTGAATGGGTTGAAGATCTGTGCCTGTCCTACTAGAATTTGGACATTTGCCGCATGTTCCTTTATTGCATAAAATATGACCGTATCGTTTTGATAGTTTTGCTAAGATAGTACCGTATTGATTTTTGATAACGTAGTCTTCCGGCTTTTTTTCGTGTTTGCTGGCGTGTTAGTAGTGGATTTTTGTTTGTCCTTTTGGCCTATATCTGATAGATAAGAGTCATGTTCTTTCGAAGGCTGTTGCAACCAACAAATGGAGATGTGATGTCCGCGCTTATTGCATGGGTGGCAGCATCCTCCTTTACAAGTGGAGGTTTAATGATATTTCGATCCGCAGTTGAAGCGAAGATTTCCATGTTTTATAATTCGAATTCTTTCTTCATACGTTCGCACTTTTTCGCAATCAATTGAGGAATGTCCTACTGTCTCACAATAGAAACATGGATATATTTTGACTGTG